GTGCAAAAATAAAAGCAGATACAGGGAAAGGATGGGTGGAGGCTTTACCAATAGCCCTATATTCTGTTTGAACTACCTCTAAACAGCCACATAGGCTATCCCCCTATGAGATTTTATTTGAAGGTCCACTCAAAACAGGGATATTTTTTCCTCAACAGTAGCAGGCTTCTAACTCTAGTTGTTAGAATATGTTCAGAATTTGCAAAGAACATCGAATAAAGTACATGAAGGTGTTTATAACTTTATCTCCAACCAAGATTCTGTTTCAGTTGTTCATGGAGACTGGGTGGTGGTCAAGCAACACATCAGAAAGCCTCTAGAACCAAAATTTGACAGACCAAATTTGGTGCTTTTGACAACAGGTTTCTGCTGTCAAGTTGGAAGGAAAGCCCACCTGGATTCACGCCAGTCATTGCAAAAAAAATCCTAAAGCCATAACATCCTTTGAAATAAAAATGATGTTTTGTTTTTTGTGAGAAATGAGGCATGGAAAAATAACCCTTTCATCCAAATGTTAAAATTGTATGCCAGCCATAGCAACGCTAGTAACTGCTGTGTGTATTCTCACTTATATCCCCAAACGGGAACAAAGCCCATGAGAGCAGTGCCTCTCAACTTCACTGATCTAAGCAGGATCAGAATAAATGGCTCTCGCATGGTATCCACAGTTAATGAACACAGATCAGTAACTCTGAAGGTTTCACAACAAATAGATACCCGCAGATTTGTCTAAACACTGCATGCCCATTTAACACTAAATGTACACAGTTGGGCAATTCAGATTGCACTGCAGCAAAGATTACAATTTATGGAGGAAATTATAGTCAATATTACTGTATTCCAGATCCAGAGATAAATAGTACCCTTTACAGTACAAATTGCTCACAGTTTTCAATATGTGGACATCTTGGTTACCTGAAACTCCATGTTCTTGCATCTAGTTTTTTTAGGAGCAGGAATACCATCCATACGTAGAGGGCTATATTTTATATGTAGAGATAAAGCTTATGCCTGGATTCCTATAAATGTTACAGGTACATGTTATATTGGGAAATTATTACCTGCTTTGCCTGTTCGCAAAGATACAGTACAACCAGCTCAAAGTCCAGAATACCGTTTAGTGTTCAAAAGACAGCTGTTTACTGAAGATGACATGGCATGATCATGGTTCCCTTCTTGGACAGGATGGGCAATTGAAGCAATGAAAAGAATAAATAATTACACTAGAATTTTAGATGAGATTAATAACCTTACTACCATAGGCTTTTAAAATGAAGAAATAACTCAGCTTAGAAAAGAAGTATTAAAGCATAGATTAATGCTACATTATCTCCCTGCCGCCATACAAGGTGGGATGTGTAAGGTTATTCACACTGACTGTTGCATATACATTTCTGATAATGAAGACATTATTAACTACTTGCCCTCCTGAGGATTTACCCCCCTTCATGAACAGGCCCATTTTTTTGCATTATGATGCTGCGTTACTTTAACTGACAATTATGCAATGCTGCACCCAAATTAAATTTACGTCCTTTTTCCCCCACATATAGAGCTTTCTTTTGGTGGTATTTTATCGCCAGTGTGTTTTTAATTTTTTTGCGCTATAAACAAAAAGACTGACAATTTTGAGAAAAAAAAAAACAATAATTTTGACTTTTTGCTATTGAACATGTTCAATAAAAAAAATGTTAAAAATCTAATTTCATCATAAATTTAGGCCAAAATGTATTCTGCTACATGTCTTTGCTAAAAAAAAAAATTCCAATACGTTTAAATTAATTGGTTTATGTGAAAGTTATAACATTTACAAATGGCGGTATATATACTGGAATTTTTTTTTTAATTTTTCTAGTAATGGTGGCGTAAACCAGGACTGCGGAACTGCGGTGGGCATTCTGACACTGAGGGGGACTAACTAACTTGGTGTCACTGACATCCCCAGTGACACCAATAGAATGATCAGTGCTAATAAAAAGCACTTACACTGTACTAATGGCACTGGGCAGGAAGGGGTTAACATCTGGGGTGATCAAAGGGTTAACTGTGTGCTCTTTTCACTACTTGGGCTGTGTAAGCACACTGCTTTGTATGGCTCTGCTATCCAGAGCTATACAGCAGTGTGCAGAAGCTGACAGGGGAGAGATCTGTGCTTTTTTATACGCAGGTCTCTCCCCCATCGGAGATACTCGGCAGCACCTGGTGATTGACAGCCGAGGCCACGAATGGGAGCTCTTGCGCACTCCTACCAGGAATATATATATATATTGTGACAGGAAGGCAGGAAGATCTAAGGGATGTGTCCAGGATGGGAGGTATATTTGTCCCAGGTTCATGCTCTACACCGACTGTTTCTCCTTTTGTGCTGTGTAATGAGCCTGTTTGGCTCACTGATGATTTCATGAGCTCAGCTGTAGTGAGTTAGGGCTCTGGGCTCTATAAAACTCCCAGGCTGCTTAGAGAGAATGCTCCAACTTGGAACCAGTTTGCTGTGCAGGACAGACTGGGGAGCAACCAAATTATACTGTGGTGAGAGTAACTCTGTGTGATTTTGGACTATGTGTGAACACTGTCTGAGCTGCTGTATCCAGACAGGTAGATAGGAACCTGTGTGTTCAGTTAGATGCCCAGTGTGGCAAGGCTTTATTTTCTGTTTTTATTTGTTTTGCTGTTTTTGAATATATGCACCTTGTGTTCACCAGCCTTGTAAAAAAAAGCACAACTTTATTCACCAAGATCCTGTTGTCGGGCTGAGCCTCTTTCGCCGTGCTCTGACTCATCCAGGGGGTCAAGCACAACCCGCTACTGGGCTAATCTCTCACAATATATATATATGATTTTGCACACCCCTGCCGCCCTGTAGCAGTATTTCTGCTATAACGTAGAGGGGGAGCGGTTAAAGGTCATCTAAATGACATGGACTTTCACTGTTTTGGTCCTTGAAGCACAAGAGACTTGCTTGCAATGTTGAAATGTGCCTTGTTCCCTTCACTTACAGACACAACAGACCTAGATGTTCTCTCTCTCCCCCTCTCTTCTTGAGGTTTTAGTTTCGTAACTGTTAAGCATAGCCTATAACATATGAAATGTGACATTATTCTATTTGCTCATTTTTAATAACTTCTCACACCACCCCCTTTTTATCTTCTGTATAAAATAGAATGTAATAATACATTTTGTCAGAACTAATACTTAAACCGTGGTGACTGTGTCCTGTGAATCTGTTCCTGCAATTGCAGTGTTAAACTTTTATTTTCAGTATCTCAACCAGAACTCTTCCATAACAAAAGATAGTCTACAAACTATGGTGTATATACAGTATATTTTAAAAATTGATCAACCATGATGAACTTACGGCCAGTCTAATTTCCCAAGTCCCTAAAATGCCAGGACAGCAAAAATACCCCCAAAATAACTCCTGTTTGAAAAGTAGATACACCAAGGTATTTAGTAACAGGCATGGTGTGTTTCTTTGAAGTTGTAATTTTTTTGTAAAAATTTTTTGGAAAGTAAAGAAATTGAATAAAATCAGTTTTTTTCCACAAAGTTGTAACTTTAACAAGTTATTTCTCACACACAGCATAGACATACTTACAAATACACAGCATAGAGGGGCCCAAAATCCAAGGTTTTAAAAGGAGCATAAATTATACATACAGGGACAATGTAACTGGTTTGAGGGTGATCAGGAACACCGATTGGTGACCATATTAAAAAACAAATTCTAATTACTTTTTTTTTTTTTTTTTTTTTTTTTACATACTGTCACCAGAGCAGTACAGTGTCACCATATCAGGCACACTAACTGGGACAGTATGCAAACAAAAACTTTATATAAATTTTTTTCTTTATTTAGATTTTTCATTTACTTTTTTTACATACCGTCACCAGAGCAGTACAGTGTCACCATAGTGGCTATAGTGATCACCTTGGGGGTGTCTTTGACTTAACTATCAATGTAAGTCAAAGATTTGGCCAAATGTCAGTCTCATGTTTATTTCTTTCATCATTCATGAATATAACCCTGAGATAACTGATGTCTTACAGGAGGTTTCATGTTCCAAGAACGAGGCAGAAACACATCACTATTTTCCAAGGGAATACAGTGATCTCACCATCATAGGTAGAAGGTGACTGCTGTCCATATCTTGGGGTTTTAGGAACTCCTGGAGTGAAGGCACTCCATGTTAGTTATACAGTAGAGAACAAAGACAGGAACAGAAACATGGGCACAGTGCAGACTCACAGAAAAGCAAGGGAGACAACATAATAACATATGCCAGATGATAATAAATGTTCCTTGATGGGGAACAGGGACCATGAACACCTAGTCTTCATCATGGCTGCTGAAAGCACAGATCGATTTGCTTGGCAGGACAATTCAATTTAAAGGATTATGTAACTCAACAACTGCACAGACAGAAACAGAGGATGGAACCAACTCAGACAGATGCGCCATCATTAAATAAACATAAACATTGAGCAGGTTAGATTAGATGATGGATGGCTGACAGAACCGTCTGGATAGGAAAAACACACCAGAATTGTTTTGGAACATCTATTATTTAGAATGAAACACTACAAAGTTTAGATTTAGCAATGGAATCAAACCAACATTTTTATACAAAAGGAAACCAAAACAGTTTAACAGGAAATTGTTTTATTGGATTAGCATAGTTAAATGCGTAAAGCCATGGTAACATTTCAAGTTGTGTGTGTGCTATTTAATGAAAAGTAAATGTGAAAGAAAGTCTGCATATATTTAGCTAAAAAAAACTATTGTGCAGCAAAACAATATAAATTTGCACCTAAGCAACCAAGGTGAACAATCTTGTAACAGTCCTTAAAACAGTCTTTACCGTCTATATACTAAAAGGGTGAAAGGGTGTGTACTTAGTGAAAGACACCTCAAAAGTGAATCGGAATATTTTAACAAATGTCCTTTATTTACCCATGCTCCATAGAAAACTGGTTAATATGGATGTGATTTAATATTCATCCTATTTATCATAAGTTGTGACCTTTGAACCACTCACAGGAGGCTGGTCTTCAGCAAGCTTTGAGCAAGGCTGAGATTGACGTGGATCCTTCTGTAAAAACCTGAATTGATGAACACATAGGATAAGATTTTAGCATTCTGTTTTAAACAATACACACATTTTAATTCACTTTTACTCCTCACTCTGTTACATAATCTGAGTTTCTATTTGCACCAGTTATGGTTGTATAACTGAACTTTACCCATTTTTGGAGATCAAATCCAACACCTGGGATGTTAGCATTGTTAGCATCAAAAAATTAGTGTTAGCAACCATGACCACTATGGGGATCTAAGGGCAAAGGAGTAAGGTGTAGGATTCCACCCTTTTCTTTCTGATGGACAAATATTGTGCAGTTAAAGAAAGCTTCTATTGGTTCATGGGAGCAGAGTTTTTTTTTCTTTGCATTTCATTTTATTCATACATGCTGAGTAGGAAAAGTGGCCATCCACATAATAGCAGGTTGACTTAGTGGGTCTGGGACCTGGGTAATAATCACAACCCTTCTAGCATTAGTTGTTGCGCCAAGACAGGAGTGATGTCCCACTCCTTCTACGGGATTCTGCAGAATGCAGAGCAGCTCAAATCTTGCACTGGACTGCAGGTCTTCTCGGAGATTTGTGTTGCTTTGCAGTCTCCATGAATCTCACTGAAGAATAGCGTCACACCCTGTAATGTGGAGGATAGGGGTAAGGCAGATATAACATCAAATTGTTTTCCTTACCAATACCCTTTTTAAGCACTATCATGCAGCAATTTTTACAAGGGAAGCAAACCTTTCATTGCAGTTTGAAACAGGAATTTATTTTTATCTTTCACAATTTTTTCACTTGCATACAGCAGCAGCAGCCGGCAGGTGTTTTACTACAAGAATGAAGAGATCACAATCGATAAAGAAGCTTAAAAATGTCCAGCAGCAGGACAGTTTTATTGAGCAAGACTAGGCCAAAATATACTAGAGACATAGGGCACATGCAGGTGTTTTACTAAAAGAAATTGGAAGCTGCAGATGATAAAGCAATGTACACTTGGCTAGCAGCATGTCAGTTTTAATGAGCAAGACTAGGCTAACCCGCATTAACCTCCCTGGAGGTATTCCCTGAGTGTAGCTCGGGGTAAAGTTTCAGCATCACAAGCGGTAACCCCGAGCTACACTCTGGGAATACCTTGCAGCTCTGCTCCGGAGTCCCTTCTGCACTTACCTTGTCCTGCGCTCCCGCGATGTCTCTCCTGCAGTGTCCCCAGAAATGTCCTCTGGCCAATGCCAGCATCTGTCTTCTGGGTTCCATCCCCTGCGAGCGTCGGGACGTACGGGGACGGAACGGCGGGAAATTTAAAAATGTGAAAAAGTGACATTCACTAAATTCACTAAAATCACATAGTAAAACATTACTGTATCAAACCATTTCACATACATTTTGTCCCGAGTGCTTTGTCCTGTGCCCTGCCTGCATTTTTACTATTCTTTCTGCCTGGAAACTGAGAATTGTCCATGGTGTCCAAAAAGCATCCCTTTAGGTCAAAAGCAGTTTTAGAACAGCGATAGTAAATTAGAACTACTTGCAGAATTGAGTGATGATTCGTGGGGAAATTTGTCATCAGACACTGAAAACGATTTTGCAACTTTGTTCAATGATGTGCGAACTTGGCGCTATATTTCAAATATCAGTGTTTTTGGTTTGATTATATTATTTAATTAAATTTATTATTATATTATAAATGATTATTTATTAAATTATAATTTATGATTTTGTGTTTCAACTTTTAACATACCCGGGATGTTTACTAGACTCTTGTTCGGACAGATATCAGTGAGTTATTCCTAAAAATTACAGGCCTACAATAAAAAAAATACATATTTCCATGCAAAAAAATGTACCGCTTTGAGCACAGAAATAATGACATAATCAGACCGCTAGGGGGGTTAAAGCACATTGCTTTACCAAACCAATTAATAGACTATAGCAGATAAGCAGTGTAAAATTGGCCAGTGACAGGACCATTATAATCAGGGGCCTAACCAGTCTTTTGCCTAACTTGTGTTTTTACTATGGTAGAAGGGGTGCAGTGAATGTGATATAGGTGAATGTAAGTGAAGTGATGTAGGTACACACTATTCTTGCAACTTTATTGTTCTTTTCAATCTCTTTATTGTGTTCCTTTTTTTTTTGGCAAACACCAATCTTTTTTTATTGTGTTCAAAGAAAAGAAGGCTACAATCAAAAGTGATGAAGAACTGAGAGTAAAAAAAGAACAAACATCATGTGACATGAATCCAACAAGGTACAGAGGTCAAATATAAGGAACATATAACATAATGCCAGTGTGGTACAAGCAGTGCATCATTCATAACAACTAAATGCACCTCTCTCCTACCTCCACTCCTAACTCAAACGCATTGACTCCTGCTGTTTTTCTCCTGGGTAAATGCACCTCTCCTACCTCCACTCCTAACTCAAACTCGCTTTCACTCCTGTTATATTCAGAACAATGGTGTACTTATATTTGTGTGTATGTTGAGCAGTCCTCACCTTCAGTTTGCACCCAGTTTACGACTGTAGCCTGGTTCCTATGAGACATCCCCCAGCATTCATGTGAGCCTTATCAGCTTCTAATTGGGGTGGAGTTGAATGCTCATTTGAGCATCTCCCTAAAATTCAGATCAGCTCATGGGGGAGATCTCTGATGGGGGGCACAGTCTCTGATGGGGGTGCTGCTTCTGACGGAGTGCGGCTTCGAAAGAGTGCGAAGCAGTTAAACACAGCAGTTGAACTTAAGCAGGAGAAAGACACAACAACAGCAAGAAACTCTACTGCATGCTGGACAGACTGCAAGCAAACACCCTGGGAAACATCTCTTACATGCCTGAGTCCCACTCTGTGTACCTTTTATATAATACACTCCTCTTCATACGACTATCCTCTGTTCCCAAGATCTCACTTCTTTACCCCTCTGCTCCACCCCCAAAACTTGCACATCTCCCCCTCATTGCTTTCATCTCCCTACACTGCCCTCATCACCCCCAAAATGCCTCTTCTACTCCTCATTTTCCTCTCCTCCATTCCCAAAATCCATTCACTATATCCCTCTGCTCCTCCTAAACATTTGTATATTGTGTCCTCACTGCTTCCTTCGCCCCTCTATGGCACCCACCACCTCCTCCTATTATTCCACTCTCCCACTGACCCGAACACCTCCACTAGGAGTTTCTCACGCTCCTGCACATCCCGCTCCCATACCACCTTTCTCACCCTTCTCCTCCTCCTAGCCGCGGGAGACATCTCCCCAAATCCTGGCCCTCCACCACCTCCCTCACAACACCCTTCCGCCTCCATGTCCTACCGCAACCTAGTATCTGTCCCCCTGCTCCCTAAAACCTCCCCCCCATTTTCATGTGCACTCCTGAACGCCCGATCGGTGTGCAACAAGCTTACCGCCATCCACGACCTCTTTTTTTCCCGCTCCCTCAACCTCCTGGCGATCACGGAAACCTGGATCCAGCCCACTGACTCTACCTCCCCTGCTGCACTCTCCTATGGAGGTCTCACCTGGACCCACTCACCCAGACCTAACGGTCGTAAAGGTGGTGGGGTTGGTCTGCTCCTGTCACCGCAGAGCACCTTCCGAGTCCTCCCAAACCCCCCTCCCTATCCTTCTCCTCCTTCGAGGCCCACTGCGTCCGACTATTCTCCACAACCCCCCTGAAGATTGCTGTGATATACCGGCCTCCTGGATCCATACCCCGCTTCCTGGAAGACTTCTCCTCCTGCTACCCTTCTTCCTCTCCTCTGAGCTACCCACCATCATTCTTGGGATTTCAACATCCCTGTCAACCCGGACACAGCCCGTCTCCTCCACTTAACCTCCTCCTTTGCACTTGCACAGTGCATACAATCCACCACCCACTCCGACGGTAATATCCTTGATCTTGTCTTCTCCAACCGCTGCGCTCCCCCCACAACCTCACTAACACCCCCTTCACCCCTCTCTCTGACCACAACCTGATCACCTTCTCTATCTCCTCGTCCTCCAACGCCTACCCCTCCAAATGTCACACTACTAACCAGCTGTAACCTCCGCATCCTTAACCCTGCCCCCCTCCACTCTGCAGCTGATCAACTCCATGACAGCATCCTCCCCTCTGTCCTGCCCCGACTTGGCTATGATTGCCTACAACAACGCGCTGTTGACTCACTAGCGCCTTTAACCACACGCAACATCAGACTCCGACCGCTCCACCCTGGCAGACTGATCACACCAAAACCCTCAAACGACGCAGTCGTGCCCTGGAGCGACTATGGCGCAAAACAAAATCCCAACAAGCTTTCACCTGCTACAAATCTGCCTTCCGCACCTACACCTCCTCCCTCCACGCAGCCAAACAAGCCTACTACCTGACCCTCATCAAGGCCCTCTCCTCCAATCCTCGCCGACTCTTCTCCACCTTCAACTCTCTACTCTCTCCACCCCCACCTCCACCCAGCACCTCACTCACCGCCCTTGATATTGCCAATCACTTCAAAAACAAGATTGACACAATTCGCAAGGACATTGCCGCAACTCACACGCCCCTCTCAACCCGTCCCCTCTCACACAGCTACCCCATCATCCCCCCTCCCCCTCGACATTACCCGCAGGGACTTCGTCGCTGCTCAAACTCCCTCCAACCCCCTTCCCCCTCACTTAGCTACCCCTCTTCACCCTCTCCCACGGCCTCACCACTGCTCTGACCTCCTCTCCCACCCCACCCTACATTCCTCATACTGAAGCTCCCCCAACACTCTGCACCTTTGACCTTACTACCATCGAGGAAGTCTCCAAGATCCTCTCTGATGCCCGCCTCACCACCTGCCCCCCTCGACCCTATCCCCTCACAATTCCTACGACCTCCCTCCCCCTCCATCCTACGCTCCCTCACCCACATCTTTAATCTCTCCCTCTCCTCCGGCACTTTCCCCTCCCCACTGAAGCATGCACACATCACCCCCATACTTAAAAAGCCCTCCCTGGACCCCAATGACCCGAACAACCTCAGACCCATCTCCCTGCTCCCACTTACAT